GTAGCCTATATGAATTGTTTCATGGAGTTTCAAACATTGTCATTTTACAATGATGCTTCAAGCTGCGAGAGACCAGTGTAACGGTTGTCTGGAGATGCTGGATGTTTGGTTTAAAAATGGCGTGGAATAGAGCGCATGCGCAGAGTTGTGAGTGATAGAAAGACAATGAGAGAGTTTAGTTTAGAATCAGATGAAATGCTGTTACTGAAGGGAAATTCAAAGTCCTGATTGATTAGTGTAATGCATAGGTTCAAAAAGGAACCCAACAATCACGTTCCCCAAACGTTCCCATATGGTTCCCATTTGGTTATTTTTTTGGGGAACCATATAAGAACGTTCTAGGAACGTTCCCTGTAGATTATTATTTTATAACCTAAAGAGAACTTTCCAGAAAGTTCCCTGCAGGTTATTTTTAGGTTTTATTTTATAACCTAAAGAGAACCTTCCCAGAACGTTCACTAACGTTCTTTAAAAGTTATGTAATTGTGAGGATAAAACGTTCTTAAAAAACATTAAAACATGCTTAAAAAACATTCAGAAATAACGTTTTCATAACCTTTCCAAAATGATAGAATGGAATGTTCCTCTAACATTCACATAAACCAAGAAAAAAACGTTCTTAATACGTTTGAACGTTCAGAAAGCATTCAGAAATAACGTTTTCATATCTTAATGGGAATGTTAGCAAAACATTCTAAGAACGTATATTTTGTTATCTGGGGATGTTGTTCTAAGACCGTTTTCTCTCAATATTATGAGAACATCAGTCAAATACAAATAACATCATAAAGACGTTCCAAGAATGTTGTTCTACTAAGAACATTTTCACGTGACGGAACGTACGTGAATGTATTTTAACTATGAAAACTTTATAAGACTGTTCCAGAAACAGTATTTTAGGAACGTTTTTTTTTACTAACATTTACATAACTTTTACATAACGTAAGTGAAAGTTATGGGAACGTTCCCTGTTGGCTGGGCAAACAGTTTCTGGGCCCCATTGACTTCCATATTATTCCCTCATACTTTACCTTAGGCTACTTTAACTCAAAACGGATTCATAAATTTGGTACAACACAATACCTGAGTGTTGTAGGCTAATGTCCTTGGGTGGGCACTGTTGGCTTTGAAAACATCTCTCCAATGTTCCCAAGAGCATTGTCAGAGGACAGACGCAAAACGTGTGGAGGAATCCATGTGCGGCCTTATGTTTAATAATAATATGAATTACTCCCGATTGAAAAACATAGGCTACACTCTCTGTAATATTCAAATTAAAGAAAGTTTAATGTATTTAGGAATAAAAAAAATAATTAAAAAAAATAGCCTACTAAATTAAGATGTCAGGTGAATTTTCACCCAATTCTCGAAGAAAAGAAAAACAGAAATAAATAAATATTTGGTTATAAGAGATTTATCACTGAAAGACAGAACTCTATCTCCATCAGGATGTCCTGTGCTGCTCAGTCCTTATTTGTGGATAGGTCTTGCAAGTAGAATGATGTAATGTTGCTTGCATTTCATGGAAAAATAAAACTCACTATATTAGAAAATCAGTTATATTATAAACAAGGGCGGCTTAAATTGTATTGATGTTGACTATACCCTAGAAAATTGGCTCCACAATCAATCTTCAATTAGGAGTGTAATCCTACAACATGTCTTTTCTCAATTAGGTATAGATTTCCTTTTAATGTGCAATTATTCTATTAGTAAACTTCCTAGTAAACTTGCCAATTATCATCAGCAAATACTTTTGGCTTGGCGACTTATTTACAAGCACAATTTCTCGCCACACAATTTATTTATTTGGAAGAGGAAATCCTTGTTTGTTGAAAACTGGTTCAGTAATGGAGTGCTGTTAGTAGACCAGCTGTCTGGAAATGATGGTAATTAATTCAGCTACTCTGATTTTATTCCGAGACACTAATTTCCATCTGTGAAACAATTTAATCTAGTTTTCAAGGCCATCTCTTTGGAAATGTATTTGCTCTTCAGAAACAATAATAGATTTCTGTTTGTCCGTTCTATTTGTTTCTCTGTACAAAAATCCAATTGAAAAACCAGGTCTTTATTTTTGAACCTTGTTACCAATAATTTCTTATTGGAACATTTTTTGATGATATTAAGTGACATATATGTTGAGTCACTCCCTCAGAAATATAAAACAAATAAAGTTAAAGAAATATCTTTTATATATATACAAATATTTACAGATTTTATCCTGTGAAGTATATTCTTTTTATATTAATGACAAGAATCTACTCAAAGCATGTTTTTGAATAAACCTTCTTTTATTTATTGGAAAGTTTTATATCCATAAATGTAAATATACAAAAAGTAAAACCCGCTTTAACATCTTCAAACAACAATTAAATTTGTTTAAAATACAACCTCAATGTCTGTTATATGAAAGCTATATATATCTAGAATGTGTGCCATGTTTAAAATTTTTTCTTAATATGCTTTTATTCATTTTTGTCCCCTACCCTTTTTTTCTTTCTCTTTAATTTCTTAGGAAATATTTTTGAATAGGTTAATTAGAATAATTCTTTATATACTTTTTCTGGTTAACTATTAAGCCATAACGTGTTTAATGTTTGAAAGAGTGTTTGTATGTTATTGTCACCTGTTTGTAAAAATCGCAATAAAATAATCTAAATGAGAAATAATTGCAGCGCTCTTGTCTACCGCTAAAGAGTTAGTGTCGCTATTGAGTTAGAAACGGTGAAAGCGGTTTTCAGGTTTCATAGAAAGAGAATGATGTGAGCGCGTTAACGGTAGCACGGCCATAGATATATTATGTCTATGAGCACGGCAGTGAGCCAAATCATTCGCGGACCAAATAAATAACTCCGAGAGACAACTCGGAAAACAAAGACATGTAAGATAAAACCAAACGCCATCATGTTTTAAAGAAGAGCTGGGCACAGAGCCATAGAGCACGGTAACAAAACTCAGAGACATTTACAACAGGGTTCCTCAAACCACCCTGATTTACAATCACAGACCCACCACAGGTATAGCGTGCAAACTCAAAATTATTATATTATATTATATTATATTATATTATATTATATTATATTATATTATATTATATTATATTATATTATATTATAAACCTAATAAAGAATTGATAGCACAAGGGGGTTGTTTAGGGCTCCTTGTCATTAAACAGTTAAAAAAAACCTGACCATCTTGCAAATTCATAATCAATAAACAAACATTTATTTTTGATGGTTTAATGCTGTCTGACTTATAATTGCCAATAATTGACCGTACAATAACACATTATGGCTGTCCCAAATCTCAAGTAACTGCTTCATTATTATATTATATTATTATATATTTTTTTAATGATTTTTAAATAGAATAAAATACAATTGAATAAAAATATGATTTATTATCACTAAGTTACATCAAGGTTCAAATAAAATAGAAATAGCATATTAAAGTTAAAAGTTACAACTGCATGATGTAACCACTTCATGTGTGTTACGCTGTACGGGTCTGGTTTAAAGAATGTTTTTGCTCAGGTGGCCAAAATGTCCGCCCAATAGAGAATAAAAAAAAAAAAAAACAGAGGGAACATTGCTCAGCACTTGAAGAAGGAGATTTGTGGGAGAAGCCACAGAGAGGCCATCGTTCACTTTGTAAGAGCTGTAGTTCAATAGCTAAAACAGAGTAAAGGTGACCCACTTGACCAAATGAAGAGCTGTGAATAACACTGCTATGAGAGGCTGGCACAAACATGCAATTACTCAAAAAGAACCATGTGAATTTGCCAAGAAAACAGTGATTTAGTTCATGGGAAAAGATTTTGTGGTTGGATGAGACCAAGAACTTTTTACACCAAATCCAAATCTTAAACTTGCACCCCAGAGTCCTCTTTAGTGACTGGACTTTCTTTTAAAAACAGAACGAAGAATGGTTGAGGCAAAATATAGTGAAATACTTCAGGAGACCCTGTTTAATTCTGTTTCAGAACTGAAGCATGCAAAGAAGCCGATCCCATTCACCGAATGAACACTGCAGTGGCTCAAAAACAAAACAGGTGAATAGCAATAGCAATAGTCACGTCAAAATCGGATCTGATAGAGAATCTGTGGATAATTATTAATATGCAAAAATAATACTGGAAACAAGAATTATATGCAAACAGCATATTTCAGCGTTTTATTTTGTTAAGAAAATTCTCTAAAATAAAACTGTGCATAAAAGAAGGAACTGATTTATTCACAGGGTACTATAGATGGATAGAGAGAGAGAGAGAGAGAGAGAGAGAGAGAGAGAGAGAGAGAGAGAGAGAGAGAGAGAGAGAGAGAGAGAGAGAGAGAGAGAGAGAGAGAGAGAGAGAGAGAGAAAGCTTAGTCATGGCAGAAATGTTGCATGCATCATTTTATTATAATAGGAATAAAAAAACATTTAAATATTTATGCTATCTCTTCTTTCATTTTTAGAAATATCACAATTTTACTCATGGCACACATTGTTATGCTATTAAAATAGCATAAGGGTTGATCTCAGTAATCAAGAAATAAAAAGGTTGAATATGACAACTGTTTTCAAAATTTTAGGTAATCTTTATTTTCTCCCAATAAATGTTATATCTTAACAGCTGTAATTGATCTTGTATTGAAAGAACATAACATAAGATGTTAATAAAATAATGATGTATCCTCCCATCCAACTAAACCTAAATAAAACTTAACCTTAGATTTTTTTTAATAAAATAAATGAAATTGATTAGTAATTGATAGAACCACATTTTGTGTATAAAAATACACAATGCTGACTACCCAGGTGAATCTCATGAAACCTTTCAAAAACATATTTCACACCAAAATAAGTGAAATATGAAAAATCTCATTCTCATTACCGTAATATAAAAACATAATAATATAATATTTAAACTGAAAAGTGTTTTTACATAATGGTAATGTTTATTATGGTGAATCATTACCAAAAACAAAACAAAAAATACTGGAATTTAAAAATCGCAATGCACTGAATAATTTATTTTCTTCTTCGATGCAAGTGTGAAAAACAAAAAACTTTTTTTTTGAGTTTCACCCACCCTGTTTAGTTAGTAGTGAATAACTTTGATGTGAACTTAATAGATTAAGTGGTAAAATACATGTGTCAATGCTTTGATGGGGTTTAGGCTTTGCTTTTCTCAGAGGATTCCGGTGACGTCACCTCTCCACCTCTGAAGCGCTGAGTGAGTTCCGCTGACATCACGGAGCAGCAGGATTTCTGAAAAAAAAAGTAGGTCATTTTCACTTTCTGTGTGTGTGTGTGTGTGTGTGTGTGTACCATTCTCTCAGGACAATTTAAAGGTGCAGTCTGTAAGAATGACAGCTAGTGTTCGAAATAGGTACTGCAGTCCAAATTCCAAAATATCGGAGATAGTTGTTTCCCGACGCTCACGTGGGTTGCCAGTTTGAGGACACGCGACTGGAGCGAGCGCAATAGGTTGGTTTCACGTGACGTTACGCTGCTGCATCGCGAGAGCGCGAAAATTCAGATGGAGGGCAGGAAGTGAAATAGCTGAGGATCTGCCATCAATGTTTTGTGTAGTTTACGGCGGCTCCAATCGTTCGAATCGAGAAAAGGGAAAGGGTTTTTATAGAGTACCAAAGATTGTCATTCATAAAGGTGAGAAATGTAAAAAGCTCACAGAACAACGCTGTAAAAAGTGGATTTTTAACGTAATGTTACATCTGCGGTTTTGGAGGAGCAGAGTCTGTTAATGCCGTGTCTCTGCACCGACGGTATGTTAGCTAGCCAACGTGTTTTTTTGTGTCTGTGTTTATATAGCATTAGGTTGTCGTTCAGGGGATCAGTGGGAATGGGACATTAAATGATCAAGGTAAATTAGACTCAATTAGGGCTGGTCCGATACCATTTTTTGAGCTTCGAAGCTTCGGTAGTAATGAACATCGAATATTCGAAGCTTCGGAATCTCTATATGTCTGTCTGTCCGTTTGCAATTTGATTATTTCGAGAACCGTTCATCCAAACGACTTCACAAGGAGTGCAGTGCCGTATTTGGTGCAATATAGATAGACAGGCGAGACGCGACACGTTCAGAATTAATAAACTTTTATTAAACTACAGAACAGCGCAAGCGGGAAGCGCGCGCGCCTCAAGCGAGCAGAGCTTATATGCCAAGAACGGACACTGCATTAGTGATATAAAACACACACACACACACAGGTCTGTTAACTTAAATATTAGACAACCTTATTAAAAATATTGCTTAAGTTAACAGCCCTGTGTGTTTTATATCACTAGTGAGTGCAGTGTCCGTTCTCGGAGCATGTAAGCCTGCTCGCGTGAGGCGCGCCGCTTCTTTATTTAAATCTACCCTACTTTGTCAGTAATTTGTTAGTGAGAAAAATATTAGACTAGCTTATTAAAAATATTGCTTTTCTCACTAACAAATTACTGAAAAAGTAGGGTAGATTTAAATAAGCGGCGCGCCTCACGCGAGCAGGGCTTATATGCTCCGAGAACGGACACTGCACGCACTAGTGATATAAAACACACAGGTCTGTTAACTTAAGCAATATTTTTAATAAGGTAGTCTAATATTTTTCTCACTAACAAATTACTGACAAAGTAGGGTAGATTTAAATAGCCTAAAGAAGCGGCGCGCCTCACGCGAGCAGGCTTAAATGCTCCGAGAACAGACACTGCACGCACTCGTGATATAAAACACACACGTCTTTTAACTTAAGCTATATTTTTAATAAGGTATGTCTTATAATATTTTTCTCACTGACAAAGTAGGGTAGATTTAAATCAATAAAAACGAAATTTAAATAAATAAAAACGAAATTTAAATATAGAAAAACGAAATTTAAATAAAGAAAAACGAAAAATAAATAAACTGTAATAGCCTAAATAAAGAACACGGTAGCAATAACAATAACAATTTCAATAACAACATCACAAATTTCAATTTATATTTCGCAGTAGATTAATTTAGATTGATAATAACGGGTAAAAAGGATAATACATTTTGTTTCTATTATTCTATTTTCCACAATATCAAAGCAACGCAGCTTAACCCAAAAACACAAGCTCAGGCACTTCTGTCCATGATACAAACTCCGCTGTTCTGCGCTCTAGCCAGAGAATACTCTCGTTGCAGGAACACTTTTAGTAGTCCAAGAAGAAGCAAATATATTTATTAAGTAGCTATAACGAAGTTATATGTTAAGTATTATATTTCACCAGATTTTATAGTGTAAAAGATATTCAAGCGTGAATGAGAACCGTTTCGAGGGGGATGCCAGGTGTGCAAAAAAACGAAACAAAAAAAAACGAATATTCGAATGTTACATTTTCAAATCGAATACCAACCCACCGAACGAATATTCGAATTTTCGAATATTCGGGGGCAGCCCTAGACTGAATACGGACTCTCCGCAACGGTTTCCTCCATAGACGTATTCTGTTCATGTTTACTTCCTGCCCTCCATCTGAAATCGCCCCGCCTTCCCGTGTCATCATAATCACGTGACTGAAACCCAGCTATTGACAATGAAACTGCCGATGAGACTTACTTTTTAATTTGATGAGTTCATTTATCCGCGTTTTAATATGCTCTCGTTTTTTTGATTTTTAGATGGATACTGAGGCTTTTAAGGTTGAGTAGAATCTGCAATCTCTGACCCAGTTTGTTTGCTGGCTGCAATAGGCCGTGTTTCCTGCCAACTGGAATCCCGGGGTGTCGAAATACTATTGGTTAAACTGACTGTGTGTGATATTACACAGACCAAAGCAAAAACAGACATTCCATCAGAAACACACATTTCAAAGTAAAATAACTGGCTGTAGAAGTGTTTTTCAAAGAAACAAGTATGTGCACTTAGATATTTCCTAAATACCTGCAAACATATTGGTATTTTTATGCTTTAGTAGAGTGAAAAAGTTACATACAGCACCTTTAATACCATGGTCCATTTTTTTCTTAGTAGTGTATAGTATTTAATGAATTAATTATGAACGTATCATCCTACATTGTTTTAAATGTTTGAATCTTTGGCAGATAAATTAGGCTCTTGCTCTCACAGACGAGGCTTAAACTCAGTCCCAGACTAAAATGCATGTTTGAGCTGTTATAACTGAAAGCAACTTGCACTGACATATCTTAAAATACGTCAGCCATTGTTTTTTTATCTCAGGATGCACACCAGTAATGTATTTTTCTAAGGCACATTTATAAAAGCTATAAGGCCTGGTTTCACAGACTGGGCTTAGATTTAGCCAGGATTAGGCCTTAGTTAATTTAGGACATTTAAGAAGCTTTTATAGACCTTATTCGCAAACACCGGAAGTAGCTAACCGCGGCCATATTGTTGACATGACATCTGTCCTGCTGCCCCTAGCCGCGCCGGCCCGCGCGCAGATTTGAGTTGAGGGGAGCAGTAGCCTAATGGCTTCATCTCGTCGGTATCAAGAGAAGATAAGCTTGATTGGTGTGGACCCACATCAAATAGACCCAATAGCATTAAGTAAAGATCCGTCCTTATTGCCAGCCGTAACTTATCCGGATATTTATAACTATCTCGTTCATACAGTATCCGTATACAAACTACAATTTACCTCAACAAGGCAACATAATGAACGACACTCGTCTCATTCGTGGAGGTGGAAAAACAAGTTCTTTGTGACATGCAAGATTTGTTGTATTAAAATGTAAATGCAAAAGAAAAGGCATGAGAGTCGGTTGTTTTTGTCAATTTAAAGTTTTAATTTAAAATGTTTGCGAATAGTAGTACATGGTTATATTTGACCACTTGCTTGAGCAACTTAATATATAGAAGTAATGCATGGAATAATTGGCTTATGTTGTTAAAATAGTGAGTATGTGTTAAAATAAAAATAGTGAGTACCGGGGTGTTTGTGGTACAGCCGCGGATCAGTTACGCACTGCAAACGCAGCATATAAAGCACTATAGCGCGTCCTGCTTCTGTACCATATACGCACCGCACACGCATTGCACACGGATTATGTGTGAAACCTGTAGTAAAATGATGGGAACAGACTTTCCTGTGGGGAGTTGGCTGAAAGTTTAGCCTATTTATCCTAGCTCGCCTCTCCTGCGCTGGCTCAACTCTGTCTCCTTCCCTTCACGTTTTCTGACAGTCGGTAACTTATCGCGTAAAAACTAACTCCGGGGTTCTTGCTGTTGTTAGAACAGCCGTGTATTACACAACACAACATCACGCTGTTTAAAAAAAAAAATACAGTGGATAATACCGACGCTGCCTCGCTTGTCAATTGACAGACTGACAGTTGCCGTGGTTTCTATGTCAACAATATGGCCGCCGCAAACATTGATGACGCAGATCGAATAACATCTAAAAACATGCCTTTGAATTAGAAATAAATATATATGATATGATGACCATGATTTTAACATATTTGCTGATCCTGGAACAGCATTCCAATCTCAACCAATCAGATTTGAGGGACAAGTTTTACAGTTTATGTCATGTTTAGGCTTACAATCAGGGTTAGGTGCTTCTACATCAGTGTTCACCTATCATTTTCCTCTGATCAGGCTTTAGGTTAGGTTTAGGATAGGGACAGGGTTAGGAGTAGGACTAAATTTTCAGACAGGAATGTTGTTCCAGGATCCAGGAACATGTCTTAAGGCCTGTAAAAAGGAATCACTTGCGCCTCAGCCTAGCCTGTGCTCTCGGAACAGGACACAACAATCTTGAGAAAAGGACCCAAGGTCTATGGGACCAAGGAGCAGGACCGGAGCACAGAACGTTTTAATAAATTTATTAGAGCAAAAAGACCAACGTTTCGACGCACATGCGTCTTCTTCAGAGTCAAAACACAAAACACGTTTTGACTCTGAAGAAGACGCATGTGCGTCGAAACGTTGGTCTTTTTGCACTAATGTCTTAAGGCCTGTTCACACCAAGGACGATAACTATAAAGATATAGTTCTAAAAATCGTTCTCAATATCAAAGAATAGCAGAGTCCACACCACAGCTATAACAATAACGGCACAGAGAAACAATATTGTTGGAATCACTTTCAGAACGATTTTTTTTGCAGCTGATGAACGATAAAAACACTGACAGCCAATCAGAATTCATCCTGCTGTAACGAGCTCAATCATTTAAAGTGGCAGACAAGCACGGACTTAGATTAAAAGGAACAATATCATCCACTGGTGTGGATGCTAATATAGTTATCTTTCTTTATAGTTATCGTTCTTAGTGTGAAGGCGGCTTTACTTGGCAATATCACGCTGTCCATATACAGAGAGATAGAGAGAGAGATAGAGAGATGGGCTTCTCACCTGCTGAGTGTTAGCGATTTTGCGTGATTTGGCAGCCAGTTCCATCAAAGCCAAGAAAAGCCCCAGTCCCAGACCGAGTGCCAGTAATAAGAAGATTCCCTTCAGACTGCTGGGCTTCAGTGGAGCACTCTTGCCATTTTTAGCCACACAACTGCTAGCCCACCACTTACTGCGGAAGTACTCCAGCTCGCCCGACTCACTCAGATGGAGAATGGCAACACTTAGGTTTTTCAGTAGAGGAGAGCCTGAGGACATTAATACACACACACACACACACACACACACACACACACACACACACACACACACACCCACACACACACACACACACACACACACACACACACACACACACACACACGGTGAGATGTAGATGCTAATACCATGGCACTACTGATTACAATATTCAAGTACCATGGTTTTTATATGGTAAATGAACTGTAGTTATAGGAATATCATTGAACATTAAACCATTCATCCATGGCATTACTCAATTATTTTGAGACTTAATTTTCTGTATGCAAAAATCTATAGTTTTATGGAACAGAGAGCATACCTAAAGGAGCAGCAATGCTGTAACCCCTCATGCCGATGATTTCTGGGGCACGTGTAAGGTTGCAGTATCTTGCCACTGCCAGGTCGAGGGACACAGACTCGCCGATGAAAGCATAGTTGCCTTTCTGAGCCTTGCGGAAACCTTCTTCTGCAGTGAGTGAATAGCTCTGAGCTTTCTTGATGTGCTCATAGATTCTGTTGTATGTGGGGTTGATTGAGTTCTGTCAAAGGCGAGTAACAGTAAAACATATAGTAGTTGGCAGCTGTTTTTCAAATAATGCTTAAAGTCATGCATACTTACCATGCTCAGTGATCTTTATCAACTCTAAATCGGGTCAAACACAGCTTAAAAGTATTGTATGTTTAATATTTTCACCCAAAAATCTAAATCTCATCCTTTATTCACTCTTATGCTGTTCCAATTTCAGCCCATAAGACTTCATCTTTGGAACACAAATTAAGATATTTTCTCTCGATTTTTGTAAATCAACTAGAAGTTGTAATCAACATTTTCAAGCTTCTAAAGGTAATTTAAGACATCATTAAAGTAATCCGATCAAACGTTTTATTCTAAGTTTTCTGTATTTATATGGTGAACGGGTTCTCGGTTCACCAAGTAAACTAAGCTGCTGATGACTAATTTTTATATGTGAATAAAAGCCTAAAGAAAATGTGTTTCTGTATATCTGTATATTCAGGAGACCGCTCAATACATATACTTTTACTATGTACTTTTTGAAGTTAAAAAATGTTGATTACATAGGCCTACTGGACAAAAATAGTTGAAAAAATATTAAAAATGTAATTTGTGTTCAGAAGATGAACAAAAGTTTTATCGGTTTGGGATGAGATGAGATGAGGGTGAGTGATTTGACAGTTTGAGATTTTTCAGTTTTCTGATGAACTATAATAATAATCATTTTATATACTAAAATGAAATTATTATATTGAATAAATTCTGTCTTACCTTGAAGAATGCAAAAGAAGAAGAATCTTTAATGGTACCATACTCAATCAAGTTTTGATTAGCAAGGTCTTCAAAGCTCTTGATTGACAGTTGCTGGTTGTCTGAATGCAGCCATAAACTAAGGTTGGCAAAGTAACAAGCAAGCAACACTAATGAAAACAGCCACCAGATAGCTGTAATGACCCTTCCCGAAAGAGCCTTTGGGTGAGGACCAGCACCTGCGGAAAAATTTATAGCAAACCTTTTAGTAAACTTACTAATCTGGCAACCCAGGCTCACTGGATATATGTGCCTGTGGCATAATTTATGCAAAATTATATTAAGTTAAAGTGAAATGTCCAGTGAGTGGCACTAAAAGCATGTTCAGTTTTAAATGAAACATAATGAATGTGGCAATGTTTTATTACCTTGGTTGATGTAGGCTACTTATTGTGGCAGTTCGAAAAATAAAATTCCAGTGCTTGACTCTAAATGCTAAATCGCGTTTGAATAGAATAATTTAGGCCTACCACCTTGATCCTAAACCCAAACAATAGTTTTAACAAATGCTAAATAATGCGATAGATTAAAAACGCATTTACTGAAGATGCAATTTTAGCTTGCTTAGTCTATAAACTCTTTTATCATGACTCGTGTTTCACAGTAGGAATGCCAACTCATATCTAAACAATTGCAATGCTGCCCTATCATAAGCGCTGTAACCTAGGTTTCCAGATGTTCATTTTAGCTGAAAACCGTACACTGTAAAAAATAAAACCGTAATCTTTACGGTAAAAAAACGGCAGCTGTGGTTGCCAGAACTTTATCGTCAAAAATACGGTAGCAATGTTATTGGTTTTACAGACTTAACTTAAAATTTACAGTAGTAAACCGTATTTTTGATTATCTGATATTATGTTTATTTACCAACCTATTGAAGTATTGATATCTGTTTTGTACCATTGTAATATACTGAGAACCAACAATCATCACAGCAGTGATGAGTCACATGATGAATCAAAGCTTATAACAAGCAGCTCTTCCACAAGAAAGTTAATACTAATATATAGAAGCTGCACAGTGTCATTCACACAAACACTAAACACCATCATGGTAACACACATGAAATTAAAAAAATGCAATAAACATTAATTTAACAACATTAAATGTAACATAAAACCCTAATGTACATAACTGATTAGAAAAAAACTAAGAAAACTATGAGGAAACAGTTATTTTAACAAAAATACATAAAATGTGAAGTGTCACACAGGGAATTGTGGGAATGTCAATTTACGGGTTTTCACTGTAAATTATACAATGCGTTGTTCTTTTTCACTTTCAAAAACTACTTGGTTACTCACGTAACCTCAGTTCCCTGAGTTAGGGAACGAAGTATTGCGTAGCTATACGCAGTGGGAAAACTCCTTTTCCTCGATTCTACTGAACCTTATGTAAAACGCATTTGCAGCTGCACAGCTAGCACATATAGCGTCTCGCTCGCTTATAGGCTGTGCTGCAGCAACTGCACATCCAATGGCGCGGGCGCTCCTGACGTTCGACCAATGAGATCGCTCCACGTCATCACACGTCAGAGCCCGTCATAGGGACAAGGCCTAGCCTATATAAGCCCCTGAACTCGCCAAAATAGCAGGTTTATACGACTGAAGCGACAAATACCCAGTTAAAATAGTGCGGCCGGCTACGCAATACTTCGTTCCCTAACTCAGGGAACTGAGGTTACGTGAGTAACCAAGTAGTTCCCTTTCGAACGGTCACTTCGTATTGCGTAGCTATACGCAGTGGGAACGCTATGCAAAACGCCGCACTGAATAACTGGTTGCCACTGCAACTCAGGAACCCTGAGCATACAGAACAAGCTATAAACCACTTAATATGTATACACTAGAGCCGACACCGTCAGGTCCAGGTGAATACATCAGAATTTCTCGATAAGGTCAAGAATATGAAAATACCACCAGCCTTAGCGGGTTTATAATATAAAGATTTTTACCGGCCAGAAGCGGGTTTATATACATATATATGTGAATGTGGTTATGCACAGAACAAATGATGAAAGACCAGACACTGTCAAGGCCCTAATCATACAGAAAGCACCCCTGCCTGTAGGGAGGGTACTTCCAAATTATAGAATTTCATAAATATTGACGGCGAGGCCCAACCGGCCGCCTCACAAATGTCTTGGATGGGAAAACCAGACGACCACGCCCACGACGAGGCCATGCCTCTGGTCGAATGGGCTTTAACACCTAAAGGGAAAACCTGACCCGCTGAGGTATAAGCCGTCGAAATGGCCTCCACTATCCATCTAGACAGTCTCTGTTTAGTGACAGGATCCCCTTTGGATCGACCACCAAAGCAGACAAAAAGCTGTTCTGATTGCCTAAACGATGCAGAACGCTCCAGATAGATTCTCAGCGCCCTGACAGGGCAGAGAAAGTTAACCTCCCCACCCTCCGTGGAAGGGGTAAGGGCTAACAATGTCACCACCTGTGCTCTGAACGGCGTTGAGAGCACTTTGGGTACATAACCATGCCTGGGCTTGAGGATGACCCTGGAATCACCAGGACCAAACTCCAAACATGCCGGGCTCACAGAAAGAGCCTGCAGATCTCCCACTCGCTTAATAGATGCCAATGCCAACAGGAGAGCAGTCTTCAGCGAGAGAAGTTTAAGATCCACCGACTGGAGTGGTTCAAAAGGTGGACCCTTCAAAGCCCCTAGGACCACAGATAGGCCCCAGGACGGCACAGAAGGAGGTCTGGAGGGGTTTAATCCTCCTAGCACCCTTCAAAAATCTCACGACCAGGTCGTTTCTTCCCAGTGACTGGCCAGCTACCAGAACATGGTGTGCTGCAATAGCTGCCACATACACCTTGAGTGTGGACGGGGAGCGATCCGCGTCCAACAGCTCCTGTAGGAATGAGAGAACCACAGATATGTCACATGACTCCGGATTCAGACGGTTTTTCGAGCACCAGCCGGAAAAAAAAACCCATTTCGAAGCATAAAGGCGCCGAGTCGATGGGGCCCTAGCTTCAGATATAGTATTCAGCACCTTCACAGGAAGGTCCCCGGATACCGGTTCAAGGGCCACACATGTAGGGCCCACAGGTCGGGTCGCGGATGCCACAACGACCCCTTTGCCTGCGTGAGGAGGTCTTTCCTCATCGGGACAGGCCATGAAGCTGCATCCGAAATCTGAACCAGCTCCGGAAACCACAGCTTGGACTTCCAAAGAGGAGCCACCAGAAGGACCGGGCACCTGCACTCCCTGACCCGCTTGATGACTTGTGGAATCATCGAGACAGGGGGAAATGCATACAGGGGGCGGTTGGGCCAGGCGTGGGCCAATGCATCCCTGTCTTTCGAGAAGAACAGATTGCAATGGGTGTTGTTCTCCGAGGCAAACAGGTCGATCTCGGCCCTGCCAAACACTTCCCATATCAGACTGACCGTCTGTGGGTTTAGGGACCACTCGCCGAGGGGAGTGTTGTCCCGTGAGAGCATATCCGCGCCCAGATTCTGGACGCCCGGGATATGTGCAGCCCTCAGAGAGCTCAGATTTCTCTGTGCCCACAAGAGGAGATCCCTTGCCATAGCATGCAGGCCACCTGACCTGACGCCCCCTTGGCGATTTATGTAGGCCACCACTGACATGTTGTCTGTGCGGACTAAGATGTGATGACCTTTGAGGCTCGATAGAAAAGCATTCAGGGCCAGACCAACTGCTTTCATTTCCAGACAGTTGATGTGTAAGCTCCGTTCCGCGCTCGACCAGAGGCCGGAAGCAGGCATGCCCTCGTGTAATGCCCCCCAACCCAGGTTGGATGCATCCGTAAAGACAACTTTCCTTCTGGAAATTGTCCCCATTTTCACACCCTCTTGGTACCAGCCCTGAGCCCGCCAGGGAACCAGGGTCCTTAAACAACCGTGATTCACTCTGATGCGTAGGCTGCCTGACTGCCATGCATACGTTGGCACCCGGCGTTTCAGCCAGTGCTGCAGCGGGCGCATGCGCAGCAGTCCCATGCGAAGCACTGGTGATGCTGCTGCCATAAGACCCAGTAGTTTCTGAAATTTCTTCAGAGGCACACACTCTCGCTCTCTGAACGAGGATGCCAGCGCACGCACTGAGAGCGCACGCTCTGGTGTGAGCCGCGCTCTCATTGGCACCGAGTCTAAAACTATGCCCAGAAAGATCACACTATGACAGGTTGATAGTTTGCTCTTTGAAACATTGATCGTGAGACCCAAGCATTCCAAATGGCCGAGAATCAGATTTCTGTGAGCTATCAGTTCGCCTCTCGACTGCGCTAGCACCAGCCAGTCGTCGAGGTAATTCAGTACGCGCACTCCTCTCTGTCTCAGAGGAGAGAGCGCTGCATCCACACACTTCGTAAAAGTGCGAGGTGCCAGAGACAGGCCGAACGGCAGAACTGTGTACTGATAAGCCTGTCCCTCGAAGGCGAATCTCAAGAATGGCCTGTGACGAGGGTTTATTTGAATATGAAAGTAAGCATCTTTCAGATCCATCGTAACAAACCAATCCCCCGGGCGAATTTGCGCGAGGATCTGTTTGATAGTTAACATTTTGAAGGGACGTCGCATGAGCGCCTTGTTCAAATGTCTCAAATCTAGTATGGGTCTGAGACCGCCGTCTTTCTTCGGAACTAGAAAATAACCGCTGTAAAAACCCGCGTGCTTTAGCGCAGGGGGGACTAATTCTATCGCCCCTTTTGCTAATAATTTCTGCACTTCGGTGCGAAGCACGTGACCCACGTCGCTTCTCACCGAGGTCTCGACAACCGCCTGAAACTTTGGGGGTCTGCGAGCGAATTGGAGCGAGTAGCCTCGCTTTATAATGTTTATGACCCAACTCGACACACCGGAGATAGCTTGCCAGGCTAGAACCCGTGTGGCTAGGGACTGACACACTGAAAGGGGGGAGCCACCTAATGTAGGGGGATCTGAAACCCTTATAATGTGATTTGTGCATACATTGAATGTTTGACCGACTGTACAGGCATATGCGTGTGGGGAAGTCAGTGTTACCACAGGGGAGGGGCCCCCTATCTGAGGGGGGCCGTGAACCCGTGTATTGTAATTGTGAAACATGCTCTTTTTGTGATTTATTTGGGTCGCCGTGAAAACGGCGTTTGGTTGTAAAGACGCGCTTACTGCGGGCCTGTTTACAGAAATAAAATCCCCATCCACCCGAACTGAACAGGGGGTTGTGGGAGGTCTCGTTGGCATTTTCGAGGGTGGTCCGGCCGGCGCGGGACACTCGCCCTCTTTCTTCATGCTGCGTGCTAGGACGACTTCGGCGGTGCTGCTTCGGGCGCAACGCTGGGCCGCGGGCCTTGGCGCCGGGGCATTGGGAAGCGCTTCGCAGCTCTTGTCTGGCGCTGGGCATCAGCCGCAGGGCGGGGCTGAGAGGCCTGCTGTTTCGGTTTCGCTGGCTGAGGCGTAAACGGAGCTGGTTTAGTTTTGCTCGATGCAGAGCTAGAGCGCTTCGGCAGGAAGTGTCGCATGGCCTGGGACGCCTTCTGTGCCTCGGTGTATCGCTCCGCGAACCCCTTCACCGCTGGGCCGAAGAGACCGGTGTTGGTGACCGGTGCATCGAGGAACTTGGACTTCTCAGAATCCTTGATGTTGGTGAGGTTCAGCCAGAGATGGCGTTCAGCCACGACCAAGCTAGCCATGTTCCTCCCGATCGCCCGCCAATGTACCATTAGATCTATCACAGTTATTTACCGTATATAGTACGGAAACTTTCTGTTAACCAATTAACAGTCTTTTACCGTTAAAATCACGATTATTTTTTACAGTGTAGTGAATCATATGTATGTAGCCTATGTATGTTTTTGAAGGATAGCGGTGTTTCCCCAGTGAGCCTATGATGCTTTTATGGTTGTTGCAATGTTATTAAACAAAATTAAATCATACCAATTTATCATACACCAATTGCCAATGTCTATTCATGAACTGGCTCTTAACCATTTAATGTGATACAGGTAAATCCAAATCCAGTTTAAAAAACAGCCTACGATTAGCCAAGTTGTTTTGTTGTATTGTAAAGTGTGTGAGGGTGTAAATACTTGTAAGCATACTTATCCATGCTATGTAAGCTACCTTGAAGAGTTAGTGCTCCCATGGTATACCATAAACTGTGTGAGAGCGTGAAGCAATTATTTTCTTCCTCTGGTTGCTCCCATTCACTGGGGCTTATCCTGAAAAACAGACCATAGGCATGGTTTTGCAGTTTTTTGGATATCATGATAATTTGAAGGATCTTGGAACACCAACTAAATACCATGGCATATCATATGATATATCATCCTACATTACAAAGTGCCATGGTATTACCATCCCACCCTTACCGTGACACAAAGAAGATACAGACAGAGGTCAACAGGTAGGCGACCAGTATACCCATCCACATCTCAGTGGAGAACAGGTTAAGAAGGCTCAGGAACTGCGAGTCATCTGAAGCCAAGTCTTTTATTAGGATGAAACTAAGGCCAGTCTGCATGAAGGGTTTGCTCATCTCCACAGCTGTCTCACGTTTAGCTGTAATAGTTAGTGGCGCCACAGCGATGTCTGCTTCCTGTAGAAATCAGCAACATACACATGGAGACACACACAAGGAAGGTTTCTTGGGACTATTTTTACATAATACAGGTAAAACTTTGTAGAAACATGTGTAGATTTATAAGTGTAGATTTAAAAGTATTGCCTCAATGAGAAAGGCAGACCTTCACATTTTCAGATAAGACGAACACAGAAATAAATTATATAGGTTAAAATCCCCATGAAATCATAGAAGTTGAAGTTTTTTGGCTTTTAGTATGAATATGTTAACCTTACTGTTATCAAGTTAGTGTGCGTCAAAACAATTACAAAATCTGCATTTTGAAGATATAAGCATTCAAAACTTAGTCTCTCAGTTTTGCCAATATGGATCAATGATTTTGATGATATCACTGTAGACTTCAGATTCTCATCAGATCAGATTATCTGTCCAATGAAATGCTCTCTAGAATCTGAAGCATCCTGCCCCATACACTATAAATAGACTCTGAAGCTGCGCTAAAATCAGTCACTTGTTAAAGGGGTGTTAAAATGCCATTTTCACAAGATGTAAAATAAATCTCTGATGTCCCCAGAGTGTGTGTGTGAAGTTTTAGCACAAAATACCCCACAGATATTTTTATATAGCATGTTAAAGTTGTCACTTTTTGAGGCTTTGCAAAAACGCACCGTTTTGTGCCTGGCCCTTTAAATGCAAATGAGCTGCTGCAGAGGGCAGGGTTTCAAGAGCTCGTGTGTGTTAGCCAAGGGGGTAATCCACCAGCCGGAAACTGAAGCTTCGCTTGGGGGCCGCCATTGTAGCAGACCATCACCTGCTGTTAGCATTCCATTGACTCCCATTCATTTTGGCGTCACTTTGACAGCGAATAACTTTACATCTGAGGCGTCCAAAGACTCCATTTGTCCATTATTTATTTCTTAAGAAACAGGACAATGTATAAAAGGCTTCATTACTTTGTATCTTACGTTATGGCCCCGTAGAAGGCGTTTTTGTAAAAATAGGCTAACGATTGCGTCATAACCACAGGACTCTGTCGCACAGAGAAATTACCGTATAGACAGAAGGAGAAGCTCGTAGGCAATCTTACTGTCTATGAGGCAATCGGGTGGACATGGAGGCATTAAGTCAAGGGAGAAGCCCATAGATAGAGAGTTCATAAAAGCAACGGGACAAAATATTTCAACAACAGATTTCAATTCAGATTTGTCTCGGCACAGCTACTAGAAGGTCAGAACGGTTGCTCGCGTCACATCTAAGTCGTCAAGCTCAGGTTGAGCCTGCGCAGTGCGCTTGGCTATCAGGAAGTGAGTGCTTCTAATGCGCTTCAACTTTCTCCTTTGAAATCTATTGGGTCGTTGTGTCCATTTCTTTTACTGTCTATGGTGTTAGCAGCTGCGATTACCTCACGCAGACACACTAAAATGACAGAAACTGTTTTGAATTTTAAAACAGAGTCAGTCAAAGATGGAGAGACTCAAGAAGAAGTGACAACATGTAGAATGCAACAGGACGTCTCTGAATGGTTAGTTGGTGAATTTATGTTGCTGATGTTGAGTTAACTATCTTCAATTAGGATATTCTGTCATGGTAATCTATAAATCGCTCATATAGGAACTTTTGTGAGATGCACACTGAGAGACTTTCTATTGCATGTGAAAAGATGGATGCTAAAGTTTGAGCTGACTCACAAATGTACTCTTATACAACAACTTTTCCTCTTCTCAACATGGACTGAGTGTTCCCGGGGGCGGGGTTTATGTACATTTTAGGGTTGGTGATGTCACTAACCCGGGAGGAATGTTGTGTAGTCCCTACCAGCCGTTTGTTGTAGTCCTTTTCTTTAAAAGCAAATATCTTCCTTTGCGTTGAACTTTGAGCGTTGTAACTTTGATAATGTTGTTTATGCTCAAACAGCAACATTTCACACTAACTAAAGTTAGAAAAGTGAAATCATACTTCACCACCCCTTTAACACAACTACTATTTTCTATATGGCAAATGGCACAACGTGCGCTGTATAGGGCAGGGTTTCTCAACCTTTTGCCTACTGCGACCCACTTTTCTTTTGTATGCCAGTCATATGACCCACTAAATAAATCTTGAATCACTGAAATGCCTCTTTAGATCTATAGGCTACAACGCAGGCCTATATGCTTATTATAATTAATGATAATCACGAAAACACACAAACATTTTCAATAATTAGGCAGACTATGAGGCAAACTGATTTTTTTACTCACGTTAATGTGATAGCCTTGAGACTGCCGCTCTGATCAGGCCAGACTTGGTGGAATTTGGAAAAGTGTGACTCGTAGTGTCGCACACAAACTGTTGTCAGCCTATTCCTGCTTTTTGTTTTCGTTGCAGTCACTGTTGAAAATCCCGACTCACAAAGAGACCATAAAACTTTAAATAATAGCCCGGGCTTTTATTTTCCCAAATCGTCGAACTGCACCGGCTTGTAGGCCTATTTGAGACAGGCCTTTATAATTTAGTGTTGAGATGTTGTTCATTGAGATGTTGTTCCTAGAGTCTCTAATCTCTAAAAATCTCCAAATGCTCCACGTGAAACTGCGGTCTTCCAACCTTTTACTATCGTGTCAATTGATTTTGATTAATATGCGCGAGGGATAGAGAGCAAGACAGCGCTCGTGTTGTTTGAAGACGTGAGTGCGCGCGCGCGGCCGGGGCGCTCTCTCTCTCTCTCTCTCTCTCTCTCTCTCTCTCTCTCTCTCTCTCTCTCTCTCTCTCTCTCTCTCTCTGCGCGTTATGCACTGTCAAGCGCAGCAAGCGGACGCTCTGACGGGTTTTAGAAGATTAAATACAACCCGAAACTAAAAAACAGACCCGGCTTCTATTTGAGACCGGCCTTTATTTACCCAAACCTGTCGCCACACCAGGCGTGTAAAAGAGACAGTATTCGGGACTCGGCTATTATTTGAAGTTTTACGGTAGTAGTGGTAATGGGAAGAGAAACTTCGTTGCACAATCTGCAAGTTGTGGATATTAATTTCTGGTTTGAATCCAAGCAATGAAAATAGCCTATGATTCGTCGGAGGATCGGCTACGTTTATACATGCACAACTTTTGTTTCAATCGGACTGAATTAATTCCGATTGATGAATCTGAATGTAGTGTTTACATGAACGCTAAACGTGCTGGGGTTAATGTGCGCGTTTATATGTCACAAGATTCAAATCGAATTATATGTTTTTGACATGCGCACACTGCACGAATAGAGTTTCCCGCTGTTTGCGCATACTAACTATTCTCTTACATTGGTTCTTTATTTGTTTTAAACAGCAGACTTAATATTTATCCATTGCTGGTCATAATTTGGAGACAATGAGGATATGAACCGTTGTGCCGTGCCCGTGCTGCTTATTTATCACGCAGTAAAAATGCCCAGCACCCAAAACCAGTCTGTGAATGAGAGTCTGAAACAAGGACTGGTGGGATGTTGTCCTGCTCCACTTCACAGACGCTGAGTGAAAGGAGAATTTTAGAATGATGGTACGCTCATTTATACGACACTTTACTCAAAAGGAAGAACAGCTCGTTCAGCGCGTCATACATCATTATGCTATGCGCAGTCCTTTAGTTTCGGTTTTCAATCCGATCAAGCGTTTATGTCCTCCCAGTTGGATTAGAAAAGGAATAAACCACCCCTTTCAATCGAATTGAAATTTTATTCGGATCGAGCTCAATCGGATCGATTAAGGTGTTTACATGAAGGCTTTTTAGTCCGATTGAACCGTCAATGCGTTTACTAACGGATTATTTGGATTTGGTTGCATGTAAACGTAGCCTGTTGCAATGAGCCTTTTGTGAAGCCCACTTATTGGCTGTGCCGGTTAACACAGAGAAAGTCTCGCGACCCCCTATAGAACGAACAACGACCCACTAGTGGGTCGCGACCCCCTGGTTGAGAAACACTGGTATAGGGGATAGGGAACGATTCAGACAGTGTAAATATGCCTTCCATTGGGGCAAATGAAGTCTGGTTTCACACGAACCGCCGCAGCACACAGTCTGCTCTGAAGAACCGAATGCCGGTAAATTTGAAGCGGGCTGATTCAAGGAGCATCTCTCTCTCTCCTCCCCACAGAAATTTTTCTCTTTAAAAAAAGAAAATAACACTGAGGGGTAGAGATCAAATTCTGTGTTTTTAGTCCTGTGATGTTGAGTTATTTGACTATCATGGGTTTGCATGGGCATGGAGATGGGGTAATGCCCAGGGTTGAAGAGACATTATCCAATTATCTTTTCCCTTCTTTGGGATCATCCTGGAGGGGCCCTGCTTTGCCTTCCAGACCCTGTCAAGTCACACCTGGTCTGATTAGCAAAGCTTATTCAGCAGCGGGTCAGGCTGGTGCATCTCTGCACACCACAGGAGTTTGCAGGCATACCAGGCTGACCTCCTGAAAGAATTAGATTCAATGGCGAAGGACTAACCCAAGAACTTTGCTGGGCCACAGATTTAGCCTTCAGTGCCACCAAACAAATGGTCCATGTCATTGGCCGTTTCATTTAAAATGCTGGCTTATCTATTCCTTGCATGTTTTTGCCGATCCTTGCCTCTGTAGGTGATATCTGGCTAGACCAGGGCATATTGTTTAGCCTTTTTCAGGGCTACTTTCATGATGGCTCAAAGGCGGGGGTTTCGGCCTCCGGGAATCCCTCTGTGAGTCACAAGGGATATGCGCAGTTGCATTTGTACCCTTGTAGGATGTTGCTGTCACCAGTGTTATGACAGATGTCCCCCTCATGGACTAGGGTATGGTCTGGGATGACCACCTCGCTCATAGCCTCTGTAGAAGGTATATTGCAAAAGTGACTCAAAGTAGAGGTTCCTCTGTCCGGGTATTGCGAGTCATAAGAGTTACGCGCTGAGGCATTTGTACCCTTTCTCTGTGGTATGACCCCAGTGTAGACTTTGGGTCCCCCGCTTGGGGCATGTTGATGTTACCAGTGTTGTGACGGATTCTCCCCTCAGGGCTGGTGTGCGGTCTTGAATGGCTGCCCAGTTATAGCCTAAGTAGAAGCATATTGCTATGGTGACTCAGAGCAGAGGTTTCACCCTTTGGGCATCAGTAGTTGACAGTAGTTTTTACTTCGTTACTGTACTTAAAGTTGCAGTCCGTAGCTTTTTTGGGGTTAAAAATGATCCAAAATACATGTTTGAGAAAATACATAACCAGCCAGTGTTCAAAACTATCTGCTTGCCTAAGCTCGATTCAAAGCGGTAAGCTTGTAATAATGTTTTTAATTCCAGTGGTACTGGTGGATTTCCGCGGGAGATTCGAGCATGTCTTTGCGTCATTACGTCACATCTGTACACATAAAGAAGGAGTCTCGGCTAGTAGGCTATATTGCGTGTGAGGATGCTGGAGGTGGAGATTTATAGCCTTTTCTCACAGCACTTGATATACTTAAACGTATCAATTTGATGGCGGATCCAGAAAGGTTCAAACGACAATCACCAGTGACAACCGGAGATTCACCCGCTGTAAAATGCAAAAGACTTCATTCGGACTTCGGAGTGGCTAACGTTACAGAAAAAAAGAGACTGCAACCGGACCCATGCGAAAACAAGGATAAAAATCGGAAGGACATTACATGTAGTCACGCAATGCTGACGTTGGTTGTTAACATTAACAATTTGAGAACAAAGTATAATTTGCACGGTTTTGCGTGATATGATAACTTATAAGCGATTGTTAAATTTAATCAGTGCGATTTACTGCAATGTCAGAACCAGAACAAAGTTGGATGTTTCTTACTTGTTCAGATGACATTTTCCGGTGAAAATTCTTATGTTGGTCATACTTCCAAAAAGAATAATCTGTGATTCTGAATGACAGTATCCACATCGGCGCGGTGACTGACAGCCTCACAGTCTCCTCAAACATTGTGTTCATCCGCGCTGTGTTGTGTTGAGGGTGTTGAAGTACAACTCACGTAAAGGTTGATAATTCCGCGAATGACTGCAATTGCAGATTTCGAACAGAGATGGCGACAAAGAGGAAAAACGCTGGACTGCAGCTTTAAGTACATTTTTTTAAAGTATTTTTATTTTTGGGGAAACTTTTACTTTACTACATTCCAAAGCACAATATTGTACCTTTTACTCCACTGCAATTCCGAAAAACATATAGTTCCTCATTATTTTGAAGAAATGGACACCCGTCCCAAAACACAATAGCGATGTCCGATTCATGAACGAGCTGATCCTTTCCAATGAACCTGAAATCACACTGATTGCAGACGTTCTCAAGTTAACAACTCACTAATTTAATGAACTGATCAAAATGAGCCGGATATCGCCTGAGCTTGAAGTTGCGTGACTGAAAAGTAAGTTACTAATTCTGAAATTTAGTATTGATTAATGTGAATGAAATTTATATTTAGGTAATTGTATGCCCAGAAATGGCAACTCTTTGCTTCATGGTGCAAACAGCTATTATTTGGACCCAGTCTACTGCCTGGTTGGTTGAGTTCTGAAGTTTCTACAAGAGCGCCTTTTAGCAGGATACTCTGCCACACTCAAAGGTTATATTACCATCAGCATGATGTTAGCTGGCAATTGCTCCTTAACGTCGCTTGCCATGTCAGATATGCAGCGGCTAACGGTGTCGTTAGAAAGAGGGATGTCACCAATCTGTTGTGCGAAATTCTCTCCAAACATGATTTGACAGATACCTCAGACAGCAGGGAAGATTAGCACCTCAGCAATTGTGTGAGGTTTTCCTAATTTAGCAACTTGTTGCGAGACGTGGTAGGATGCTTCTAGACACCTGTTAGACACTGATGTGTGTTTGCTGATGTTGCATTTTTTTTTGTGCAAGGCAAGAACTTTAATTTGAAAAAAATCTAAGGGTTTGTCTTTGAGTGTCGGGTGTTTAGTTTCTAAATGGCGCTTGAGCTTGCATGGCTTCATGGTATAATTTGCCTGGAAATCTGCACATATAACACACTGGGTCCCAGCTACCGTTAAAGCCAAACGGAAGATAGCTAATGTCATACTTTGTGTTTTACAGTTCTTAGGGGTTGGTGCTGACGGCACATTGTCGCCACAACTCCTTTTGGCACGTGTGATTAACTTATCCTTAAACTTCTTACCAATATGGAATCTGTTCGGCTTGTACTCACCGACGTTCTGAAACGTGTGTCTGCAGTGTGATAGTGAGTAATATAAGCACATGACAAGAATAAATGGTGAAATTAAGTTAAAATTTAAAACAATGGAGAAGCTGATAAGTGATTGGTCTGTGACAACACAGCGTGCACATGCACAGCTCTTTCACGTCTATGTCAGCTGCCATTCGGTCAATTGAAATGCACTGCTCCTCTCAGCAACTCACTGAACAGAGCAGAAGCAGACAGAGGCGTGACTGCAGCGGGAAAGCAATACCTAGCGCTTGCATGACAGTACTAGTGACATTTGGAAAGTTGCTAAGGGTTGTCCAAAAAGTCGGAAGATTTGTCGCTCGGTGCTTTTTTTGGACAAAAGTCGCTAAAGGGGTCTGAAAAGCTGCTAAATTGGTAACACTGGTCTGCACTGACAGTTAGATAAAAGGCAGGCCAAGCTCCGCCGTTCCCCATCAAAGAGTGCGTTTTTCTTAAAAGAAAGTTGAAAACAACACCATTTATTTGAAATAGAAATCTATTTATGAATATAAGAAGTTTACACACCCCAGTTAAAATGCAAAGTTTTTGTGATGTTAAAAAATAAAAAAATTATCCCATAATTTACTCACCCTCAAGCCATCGTGTATATGACTTTCTTTTTTCAGCCGAACACAATCAGAGTTATATTAAATAATATCATGGGGGCGTTCCCAGCTTTGTAATAGCATTGAATAGCTTTTGAAGCTCCAAAAAGCTCATCCATCCATCATAAATGTAATCCATACGACTGCAGTGGGTTAATAAATGCCTTCTGAAGTGAAGCGATGGGTTTTTGTAAGAAAAATATCCATATTTAAAACGTTATAAACTATAATGACTGGCTTCCGACAATGGCCGTGCATCAGAAGGCATTTATTAACCAACTGGAGTCGGATAGAACTCCTATTATGTTTGGCTGAATGAAGAAAGTCATAGGATGGCTTGAGGGTGAGTAAATTATGGGTGAAGTATTCCTTTAATGTAAAAATTACAACCTATGCAATGCCACTAGAAACCAAAGTGACACATTTCAAAAAAAAAAAAAAAAAAGTTTTAAAATAATAAATAAATAACAGCATAAATGTGGACAACCCTGAACTAATACCTAATAGCACTCTTTGCTTTTATTAAGCTTGTCAAATCTTGTCTTGAGAATATTTTCCCAATCTTCTTTGCAAAACGTTCCAGATCTATTAAATTGCTAGGGCGTTTCCTGTGCATGGTCCTCTTCAGTTCATCCCACAGATTTTTTTATTTTATTTAAATGTGTGTTTTGGATCATTGCCATGCTTAAAGGTAAAAGTTCTTTTCATGTTCATCTTTCTAGCAGACACCAGAAGGTTCTGTGCCAAAATTGACTGGCACATGGAGCTATTCATGGTTCCCTCCACCTTCACAAAAGCCCCAGTTGCAGCCAAAGAAAAGCAGCCCCAAAGCATAATGCTGCCACCAACATTATTCACTGTGTATAGTATTCTTTTAACACATTTTACCACATGGCTTTGGGAGATCGGATATTTGCTTTTGAAAATTTTAGCTGGGTTTGTATGTTTTATTATTGTGTCTTGCCACCCTGCCCCATGAATACGGGACGTAGTTGTCACATGTAGGGAGCAATCAACTCTTTTAATGTTGCTGTAGGCTTGTTGACAGCCTTTCTGACCAGTTTTTTTTTTTTTTGTCTTCGTCAATTATGGAGATACATTCTGTTCTTGATAATGTCACTACTGTGCCATACTTTCTCCACGATTTTTTTTGCACCCGTCACCTGAGCGATACCTTTCCACAATGAGATCCCGTTGATGCTTTAAGTTCTTTGTAGTTGCATGCAATCAAGATGGTGTCGAATTATTTTTTTTACAAAAAGAGCTGAGATTTATTTGGAGTTAATCAGTCACTTCAGGTGAAGACTGGTGTTTACTATTTCACATTAGCTTGATGATTAGTTAATTCTGAACACAGCCACATTCCCAATTATAAAAGGGTGTTCAAACAACTAATAGATTTTAATGTTCTGTGTGAACATTTGTAAAATAGAACATATAAACATTGACATGGAACAGGTTTTGTCTACTCAAAGATTGTAATACTCACCCCTCTTACAACCTCTCCAATCATGCCGTTCCAGTTGCCGCTGTCATCTGTTTTGCCATATCGACCATCCTTCACAATATGAATATCATACTTAAAATCTAATTTCTTAGAAACAGCTGACAGCAGGTCAATGCAAAAGCCCTCCAGTTCGGATCCTTTAGACATTGTATACGGTTCTTCCTGCATGGAATTGTGGGTAAGTGTCAAAAAATTTATTTAGTTACAAATCATTACAAAAAATGTATTTATAAGTAGCCCAGATATAATTAATTTAACTCACCTTGATGGTTGTAACTCTTAATGTTTGTGGTCCTAAAATATAAAACAACATTTCATTCAACTTGTTACAAATTTATAAGAATCCTTTTCTAACTATTCATTACTACAGGGAATGACTCATTTCTTGGTTAATCATTGTAAAAAAAAAAAAAAAAAAAAAAGGGTTCCCAGGACATTTCTATGTGGTGGCTGAGGCATTCTGAATGGTGTTTTTGCATTGTTATTCTGCTAGGGTTTTCTGGGTGATTGCTAGCAAGTCGAAAGCGTCCACCCACCCCAAATCGCCAGATGAAAATCATAAATCTGATCACAAAAGTAATATTATAACTCTCCTTAAAGGGACACTTCACCCATTTGCATTAAGCTTTGTATCGTTAGGCTGCGTTCGTGCCTAAAAACGCGTAGAAAATGCTAGGCGCGCCACATTCTCCTTTTTCCAAAGCGTTAGGGCGGTTGCGCTCCGGTTGGTTCTTGTCACGTGACCTACGGTGCGCTTATGGTGCGCTCGCGGCATTCTGAAAAGTTGAGATGTTTTAATCTCGATGCGGCGCGGACGCGCATGGAAAAAACGAGCGCGTCGCACCACTTCCATTATGAGCGCACATACCGCGTGCCTACATTTGAAATAACGAACTTGAGCGATATGTGAGCAGGCCCTTAGAAACCCAGTCATATTTTTGAATGGTCGTGCATTATTCCCTAATTTTTCCCCGAGACGAGAGAAATAAGGATTTCAGTGTTGCAGTTCCTGCTTATAATTATGTAAAAATTGTCATTTTGAGTCATTCTAAGCAGGAAGTCCCATATCTTGGTAGAGGGGCTGAGACTATAAACACTCGTTCCTTATTTTCCCAGGGGATGGGACCCACTCACGCTACAGACCTATTACAGATCAGTGGGTGGGACTTCACTTTCTGAAACTAAAAGCAATAGAGAGCCTAAGTCCCTCCCCTCCGCTTCCGGCTCATGGCACCTTATTTCGGAAAAAATATGTATGGTAGTCAATGGCGAGAGACAACTTATCTTTTGATTCCGTCTGAACTGTGCCCCCTGAATTACACATATGATGTTTTTCAATTTAAAAGATAATTATGAAAGTCAAGAAAGTCGGATTTTAAGTTGTGTAGTGTATTCCATACTTAAGTATGAGCAGTAATAAAAAGTGATGCTTGAGTTAGTAAACCCCACTAATTATTCTACATTTTTATTACACAATATGATTATTCTTTTTGTCTAATTGGTTGTTTGATGTCAGGGTTTTTTTTGTGAGCTAATCCAATTTTCAAATCAGTGAGTAGAAACAGGACTAGGAAAAAAAGCAATGCTTGTCTCAATTTGACAAGGGCAGAACATTTGGATGGCATTCCTGGTTGCTAATGAAGCTTTCTGTCATGCTGAGATGTACTTTGCACTCTTCTTCAAGCACCCACTAATATTCCCAAATTTAGCAGATGTAGACAATGTCCCATTTGTGCTACAGCACTATGGTGAAATGGTCGCCTCATGGCCACTAATCTTACTTTGACTAAATGAGACTTAAAAGGAGATAGTTGGAAGTAAACAAAAGCTTGCTTTTGAGTGTGTACTGCCTCCTGCAGCGGAACGGATGGGGTGGGAGTTTGGGAAAGTTCCAGTTACTCTCTAAAGAAAGCGCTCACAAAATGATGGGAAAGTGCCCCACTCTTCTGACTGCAGCATCTGAGTCCACTTGGAAGTTGCTCCCTATTTTGTTTTGATCCTGTTTCATGCAGACCAGTCCACATCAACCAGCAGACATGTTGATAGATGCATGAATGTGTGTGAGTGAATCAAATCAAGAATCAGAGTAGTTTTTTTAAATCATACATGGATTGCTGTATTTTAAATGGTCTTTTCATCTGACATTCCATGCATTCCTAAATGTCTTCGGTAATTTAAATGAATTATTCACACATTCATATGAATAATAATAATAGTGTTTACAAATATGTTAGATGTTTAACAGTATACTCAGTTACGTCATTCACAACATTTCATGGAAATGAATGACCACTGTTGCCTTTTTTGCACAATTTCCATTACCATGGTAACATCGACTTCTTTGGTTGGTCTGATCTCTTTTCAGATTATGGGTTGTGAATAGGATCCTTTGGCTATTAAATGTAATAAAAAAAACTTCAGATTTTTTTCTTTTGGGATCTAAGAAAAAAAAAAGTCATAAAAGTTTGGAGCGACATGATGGTAACATAAGTGAAAATAGTTTATATATTTTTAAATGATTGTCATTGACAATATTCTTGATTTTTAGAAGAAACCGGATCTAACCAGATACGTTTTCTAGGTAAAGTTAGAGTTAAACTGCTTGAGTAATCTAGATTAAGTTCTGCCAGCTTTTGGTGAGAATGTGCTGTTTAAGTTTGATCTGTGCAGGACACACAGCAGGCCTCCATCAGTGTCACAGCATATCACTGACACCCCTCATCCTCCCATTCAAATTATGAAAAACGTACATGCCATCAAAACTGAAGTCATGTCATGGGCTGCCCTACATTAGTGACTGCTTGGTTAGTGGTGGCTAATTGATTAATCACACTCATTATAGTGAATAGCAGCACTGTTCTCTGCTTTGAATGCCGGCTGCTCCATGCCTGGCGGGATGTCATGAGACAGGGCCAGCGCAGTGCCATGGCTTAGACTGAAACATGCCGTGTCAGACTAATATTGGCTCTATATACATCCTGCTTTGTCTCTTCCTCAGACGGCACGTCCAAAGACCGTCTGGTTATTGCCGCTATTAAACCCTATTAAACCCTAACACCTCAGCCCCCTATAATCCTTGTTGTAATGACAACATCACAAGTAGACTCATGAAATGATTTCAATGGTCACACGCAGACCTCAACACTTACATAAAAGGTACATAAAATACAACAAGAGTGAAAAGCTTTTTCAGTAACATCAACAAAATATGTATGTACAGTTGTAATGAATATTATTCAACCCCATTGCAAATCAGGTTTATTGGCAAAATGTACAGACTTTCAGCTGTTTGCAATGAACTAATCGAACAAAAGTAATTGAAATAGCTCAACACAACAAATGTTTCAAGTGGTTTCCCCAAATTCAACTGAAAATGCAACGTTTAATGACTTCTGCAGTCTCAAAATTATTCAACCCCCTGAATAGAAACCCTCTCAACAGCACAAATCTGCTAAACAGATGTTGTAAAAATGGCTAAGTCAAAAGAATGGTCCAAAACGTTAAGAGAAGATATCATCACCCTTCACAAGCAAGGAACAGGATACAAAAAGATAGTGAAAGCACTAAATGTTCCTAGAGACAATGTTGGAAGCATAGTTTGCAAGTTCAAAGTTAAAGGAACAGTGGTTAAACTACCTGGAATACTTCGAATACCTAAAATACTAGGGCTGGGAGAAAAAAATCGATTCACCTAGCGATCTCAATTTTTTTTATTACAGAATCGATATTAATTCAAATTAAATTGCTTTATTTTCGTCCTTGCTTATAGACGAAGTTGACAGAAGTAGACACTTTTGTTCCAACAGAGGATGAAATGTGTCGTTATCTTTGAGTTTTGAGTGACGTAATATCCCTTTCAAGTGGACGCGTGGAAGCGACGTGAGACTGAATTCACTGAAAAGCCCTCGCGCTACTCATGTGCTGAGAGTGAGATAAGACAGTAGAGCTGGACGATTAATCTTTAAAAGACTCATCTCGATTCAAACACCCACGCGATGTTCTTCAATTTCATCGGTCTATTAAACCTTTGACAAAATCATATTGCAACATTCAAATCTGTGTTGGCGCTGCCGCTGACCCAGAGAGAGTTGTCATGTAACAGCTTCACAAAAGGTCTTTTCAACCATATAGTATCATTATTTCTGTGATACATTAGTTCAAATTATCATAGAAGTAATTGGATAAAATTTAAAATTTAAAATATAAACACAGATGTCTACTGTCAAAATAGAGTAAATCAACTTTTGATAGAAACTTGGCACTTAAAATAACACATTTATCGATTACATTGTTTCGCCACTAGGTGACTGTTAAAATTTTAATTTGTTATTGAATCATTTATTCAAGAGAATGTAGTATGTAGGGATCATTGTAGTATGTAGTCAATGCTTCTGAAATAAAAGTCAGAAAGATGTGATGAATTGTTTTTGTAAATATGAAATCTTATAAATCATGTACAGTCTGTATAAGTGTATGATTGAACTTTTCCCCATGGTCTAGTGTTAAAAAAAAATCACAATATATTGCAATATCGAATCGCAATACTTGTAGAATCGCAATTCTTAAAAAAATCGCAATACGTATCGTATCGGCACTCAAGTATCGTGATAGTATTGAATCGGGAGATAGGTGTATCATCCCAGTCCTATCAAATACCTCGGAGTGCACATCTCTGAGGATTTGACCTGGACTGATCACATTCAAGCCCAAGTAAAGAAAGCCAGGCAAAGGCTGTACCCTCTGAGACTACTGGGGAAATTTAGGGTTTCCTCTGCAATCTTAAAAACTTTCTGTACTGGGGCTATAGAAAGTATTTTGACTCAACGCATCTCATCGTGGTACGAGAACCGCTCAGCCCTGGATCGTAAAGCCCTATAGAGAGTGGTGCGCGCAGCCCAGCGTATAGCTAGAACCGCTCTCCCTTCTCTGCACGACATTCACATCAGGCGATGCAAAGTTAGGGCTGTCAATCCTCAAGGACTCCACCCACCCTGGAAACTCACTATTTAACCTGCTGCAATCAGGCAGACGCCTCCGTAGTCTGAAGGCTAAAACTGAGAGGCTCAGCAGGAGCTTCTTGGCCATCAGACTCTAACATGAAAAACATTGCACTTTAAGGACACTGATGGTGATAAGTTATTTAGTACACTGCACTGCACTTTACGGACACTGCTAGGTTATTTTAGTTGCATCCTTGGTAACGGTTGCTTTTACAGTACAGTACTTACGTGTACTTACAGTGTACTTACCTAGAAAGTACTGGCTAATATAAGGTAAGTACATGGGTTAGGGGTAGGTTTAGGGGTAGGTTCAGGGTTATAGTTATTAACCAGTAATTAATTACTATAATAAGTACATAGTATGTACATGGGTAACAGGACTGTAAAAGGAAGCGTTACCGCATCCTTTATATAAAGTATTTGTGTGTGTTTTTATGGCACAGTCCACAGAAAATTGCCAGATTTACATTTCACTGCTTGTTTTATCACCTTATAACTTGTATGTGACAAATAAACTTTGAATTTGAATTTTGCATGGGGCAAAAAAAGGAAGCTATCAACGGCTGCAACCAGATTTCTGAGAAGGCAGGTTCAGAAAAACCCTTGAGTGACTGCAAAAGACCTGCAGCAAGACTTTGCAGCAAGGTTTCGGCTTGCACAGTAATCACGTACTAAATGCATGCCAGAACTCCAAGACGTACACCACTACTGACCCAAAAGAACAATAAAAGTGCTCAAAATCATATAAATAAGCCACCAGAGTTTTGGGATTCTGTTCTGTGGAGCGATGAAACAAAACTGGAACTTTTCAGCCCTATGGATCAGAGGTATGTCTGGAGGAAGAAGAATGAAGCATATGCTAAAACGAACACACTGTCAGCAGAAGCATGTTGTAGCTCTGTGATGCTCTGCGGCTGCTTTACATACATCCACTGGCACTGGAAACATGCAGTGTGTGGAAGGCAAGATGAATTCATTGAAGTATTAGGCAATTCTAGAAAACGTCATCCCGTAATGAGACCTTCTAACAGGACAATGATCCCAAGCATACCTCAAATTCCACCAAGGCTTGGTTGAAGAAGAAGTCCTGGAAGATGGCCATCACAGTCACATGGCTTGAACCCGATAGAAAATCTCTGGTGGGATTTTAAGAAGGCAGTTGCAGCACGCAGACCCAAGATTACTGTACTGGAGGCCATTGCTCATGAGGAATGGGCTGAGATTCCTCAGAAACGCTGCCAGAAGCTGGTGTCTGGCTATACATCTCATTTGCTGCAGGTCATAACAGCAAAAGGGTGTTCTACTAAGTACTAAAGATGCTTTCCATGAAGGGGTTGAATAATTTTGAGACTGCAGAAGTCATTAAAAGTTGCACTTTCAGTTGAATTTGGGGAAACCACTTGAAAAATGTTGTGTTGAACTATTTCAATTACTTTTGTTTGATTTGTTCTTTGCAAACAGCTGAAAGTCTGTATTTTGCCAATAAACCTGATTTGCAATGGGGGTTGAATAATTTTGATTACTACTGTAGCTTCTGCACCACTAGTGGCACCTAGCAGAATGAAAAACTAGCAACCTTGCAAACACCCCTTTCGTGCATCGCACCTCCACAACTCAATCATCACAAACAGCTCTTACAGGTACAATGGGTAAAAGTAGGCTACTTGATAGGAATACTTTTTTTCTGTGTTGACATGTTACATGAGTATCTGCACTGGGCACATTTTTTGGCAGGACGCACCACAACTGTTTGATGCTGAATAGACATTATAAACTTTTTGAACAGGTGCATGATGATGCTGTATGGTATTGAACCTGTTTAATTTTTAAGGGTATTTTGGTTTGCATTTCTGTAACCGAAGGTGGATGTCCTTTCCAATGCAACACATCAGCCGTGGTCCCACACTGGCTAAAGACAATCTGTCTCACCCTCAGCAGCCACACACCAAACTATCGCTATGGGTTGAGCTGGTAAGAGATCAACGGATCTGAGCAGACTGTTTTAATGGTGCCTAGGAGGCTCAATGTTTAGACTTTTGGGGTAGATAAACCCATTAATGGCATTCTAATAGTTGTCAATAATCAAAAAACTTAAGAAGATGCATTTTAACATAAAAAAATCTTACGTACCTTTTACCCCTATAAACATATTAACTTCTCTGCCTCCCCCACCAGCTCTGGAGCACTAATGGAGTTTATGTCATGTTATTGTAGATTGACCAGTCCACATGTTGACATTTACTTAAAAATGTTTGAGATATGTTCTGTTTTTACTAAATATGAATTTAATAATTCGGTTGAATTGCAAGACATAGATGGTCATGTAATCTCAACTTTGCGACCAGGACGTTGTGATCTGCTTCAAATTAAACTAATTTGTCAAAAGTAATATTCATTGTATTAGGTTTCTATTACGATGATAAAAAAAAAAAAAAAGTTTTTTATGTTAAACACATACTTGGTGAGCCAAAAAAGGACTTTATGATGATCTGATGAACAAGATGATGGACTACCACATGTATGGAAAGTCAAATTTCCATTTGCAACAAAATATCAGGCATTGGATAAAAAAATGCATACAAACAATATATAAAATTGAGAAGGTTCATTCATAAGGCTAAGCAAAAAGCTTTATAATAAAAACAGTATTCTTTTTATAGCTACACATTGACCTAATAGTAGTCTTACTACAATTGGTATTACATTATGCAATGATATTACCTGCTGCCCAGACCCCAGCCAGTAGTGCTGATGAGACCAAGATGAGTCCTAATGGAGCCATTTTACTGCCAATAACCTGAACTGGAATGATACAGATAGTGCTCAATTATCAAAACATGATTTATTCAAGAATCTGTTTGAGATACAGTAAAATTTTCAATTTGAAAGTCAGCGGATTTATTTAAAGATATAATTTTACACTTTTAAGTATTAGTAGCCCAATATTTAAAAGTACAATACAGACAAAACCAAGATCCAAATGCTCAAAGAAAACAATATTATTTACTATAAGCAGCTGGAAATGAGAAAATACATGGCAAGCTTACCGTAAACTGCAGTCACCCCCTTATTATTGCTCAGTGCATGAGGCAACACACTATATAAAGCTTACAGATACACCCAAGAATGTGAAAACAGCCAATAAGAGAACAGGGGCCGTTCTCGAGTGGAGGGAAAGGGGTGGTTGTGTCTGACCATAACAAATCCACAAGGATTTATAGATGATGGGGATTGGAATTTGGACAAAGATTAAGATGCATGTGACCCTGTAAACAAGGGATCTGAGAGCCGTTCAATAAACAGGGCATGCAGAAATGGTTCTCTGCAGCTGCTTAAAGAAAAGTCAATGAATAGCTGGATTTTATTGTTAGACTTCTTTTTACCTCTCTAAAATGGCCTAATCCTAATTTACAACCTCAAAGAATTGACTCTGGCATTGTGAATAGGGTTTTTTTCAACCTCTGCAGCATGGCTCCACTATAGACAAGCTAAAATGGCTCTATGAGGCAACTTGAAAACTGAAGTGAAACTAAACCACCGTGATAAATACATCCAAAGCGAGCGGCTTTGCCACTCGAATCCTAATGAAGTGAACTTTTGTTAAGAGAGACAACAGCCTACAATCTCTGTCAATCAAAGTGTCATGTAAATCCCAAGGGAATTTTTTTTTTGCCGCACAGAAGGATTTGACTATGGTCCTTTTCACCAGCTATAGTCTTGGTAACCATGGCCCTCGGCATGCCTAAGCTTTTAGACAACACGTCAGTCATAAGTGATGATGAATAGGTCATGGTGTTTATGAACTCATCAAGGGTTAAAAAAGGGGGCTAATCCTTGCAACATCTTGGTTTTTGACAATAACCATTTCCAGTAAAAAGCTAGCACCATGAAAGTGAGAAAACATGTCATTGTGTTTAGGCCTGAGAGGTAATTGGTCATCTAGTGTGGGGCAAGGCTTTATTCTGTGACATCTTTTCTCAGCGGGAGTCCTCTGTGCAAGGCTAAAGAGGTTGGGAAGAGTGAAGGCAAATACAAGTGTGTCTTCTCAGAAAGGGTCAAGATTACAGCACAGGGAAAAACATCTGTTCTTTATCTAGATGTCAGCTTTAACCTGTTAAGCTTCAAGCCCACTTTTGAAAAATCCCCAGAAATGACATACCCAAACTAAAACAGATACAGTTCATGAACCCTTTGCACTAAAAGCACAAGTATGATCTCATTTGAAAGCTGACACCTGGTTGTTTATTGTAAATGTAGAATTAATTATTGTCATAATGAAAAAAACAATTTTAAATAGCTTCAAAGTTTTGTAAAGTTATTAGAAATTTATTTTTATGAAACATCTTCATGAAAATAAAATTGAAGTTGGCCCTGGAGCAATCTAGAAATGCACTGCAGCTAAAGCCACATGTCTGACCATTTTATATTTAAAATCTGAAAATGATAAGTATAAAGCTCTGTATTTAGTTCAATGTTTTTCAAGATCATGTCAAATTACTTTATTTTGATTAGACTCTATTAGCAAACTGATGTTTAGTCATCTTCTGAGTCATCTATTCAGTCTATTGTCTCTATTGTTTTGTGGTGCCCCATTCAGTCTCAGTCTCCCCTGCACACATTTACACCTCTCCAGACTGGTTTTTATGGCTCTAAATATGCATTTCTTTTGTCTGCATTATAGCTACTAACGACTGGCTATTCACAAGCTATTCATAGGGTTTCAAACCCTAATTTCTTTTATCAAAGTTCTCACTAAATATTTGAAACTGGTATCAAATGCACTGAAACATTTCAGTAAGCATTCCTATTTAGAAAAAAATCATAAAACAATAACTGCTCGTGGCAGGTGCGCCTGGGCTCGCTAGCATGTTAGCTTAGCACACCATCAATACACGACCATTTATGAGATTAAAACTATGTTTGCGCTCCAAACTCACTATATAACGCAAGTCTAGTGTTTTAAATAATCTTCTGTGATCTAACTTGGCTTCAGATAAAAAAAAAATCAGACAGAAAATGTATTATTTAGTGTTCTGAACGATGATGAAATCTATATCGATTAGCATTACATTATAAATATAATCTATTATTATGAAATACCTGGCATGGCTTGAAGAACACAGGTAACTCAAATATCATTGCAATCATGTTTATTGTCTTCAAAACATCTTTATCTGCATGTTACAGCGATCTCTGTACTTTCTGTATCACTCAGTGACGTCCTGGAATGTCACATGACTATGGGTCTTCTTCATGATCCATATATGGACTTTTATTGGACATAATAGCGCCCCCATGCTATTGGTATGAATGGAAAACACAGCACATCTCAGTAAGAAGCGATCATTATGATTACATCGACGCATTTGGGTATAAATTCAATAAATATTATTCCTGTCTATAGAAATATGATGTGAATCTATGAGAATATATCAATATTTCTCCACATCTGCACATTGTTGAGCTAAAAGCCCTCAGGGACGTTGTTTTGTGAATCGCTATCATGACGACAGCACGGAGTGTTTTTTATGAATGGACCGGCTGACGCTCATAATTCATATTAAAGGTATCGACTCATTTTTTTCATTTCATAACTCCTGACACAAATTAAGACATAACTGTCACTATAAGTTTCTCAGAATACAATAGTGGTCAAATACTGAATCTTGAGTCTTATATCTTTTTAATGATGTATAGTTTGTCAAGGTATAACATTAAATCTGATAGTATATTTGAACTAAATAAAAAAAAAAACGCTTCAGTGCGCCGACGCTCTGGAGAAGGTTAAGAGGTTTTAAAGACTATTGCCGAATCTGAATCTATTTAGTGTTATGATATCATGGGCATATCTGGAGAATTATGTCATTATGATCACTAGAAATCAAATGTATTTTTAAGGAAGATAGCATAAACAAGCAAAATATTTAGCAAAAAGAAGTTTGTAGGATTGAAATTATGAAGGAATTGATTGACTGTTGTCAACTTTGTAGTTAGACATTAGTGGAACATGTTCATAGTTAATGTGATAAGCTACACCTGAGGTTACTCTTCTGGGACACCCACTAAGAACGGTACGGTAACTCAGTGGGTAGCCCTGTCGGTCCTTTTTTTCTGTACCAGGAACAACTATAATTTACTACAACTTTTCAATTGTATACATTGTGTGTTCAGACCTTTTATAAGTGCTTAGTTCCAATCCGAAACATGCATCCAGTACCAGTTATCTACACAACATGACTGAAGCCCTGTTTATTTAATTTTGCATAAATGGTGGTCATATCATCGTTAATAGGATAACATTCACCTATAATGTGATAACATTTGCGCAAGCTGCTCCTACTGTCAGCAATGTATGCAGGGAGGATGAGTTGAGGCAGGATCTAGTCTCAGCAGTTTTATTTATTAATCAAAAAACACTGAAATACAAACGCACAGGAAAATCAAGAAAACAGTGAACGTAAAGCAAACCACACAACAACAAGAACGGACAAATAACAACAGACACCAATGACTATATATACACAGGATAACTGAGGAAGAAAAAAGGCACAGGTGGGGACTAATAAATCAACTGATGAATCACTATGACAACAAATACAAACATACTTACTTAGGGTACATTTTTGGTCAGATATTGGGATTGACAACCACATTTACCTTCAGGTGTGATTCTCGAAATGTCCCGTTTCAACAACTTACAGCTTAAAGTAACGTCTCGAATACTGTCTGTATGAACGTTCAACAGGAGTCAAGCCTGTATTCTCTTCTACATCGACCATGACCGAAGTAATGTCAAAGATGGCAATGTCCATAAAAAGATCCTATCAGTTTTGATACCACAAGAGTCCAATCATGCTGCGAGGTCGTCCATCAAAAATCCATGAACCGTCAGCAGCTTTTATATCCAGGTGGAGAGTGTCCAGGAGAACGAGAATTAGAGTCGGGCATAGAGCCATAGGCGGCCTTTGCAATTCGAAGGCCCGTTTCAAAGAAACAGTTGGAAGCCCCCGACCCCCGAGATGACAAAATCTGACAAAAACATTGTATGCAATGCGAATGAAATTACTTTAATATCTCTGTTATATTTAAAAAATGTATCTCATATTTCACTCAATAGTGCATTTATAAACAGATATATGAATTCATCAATAACTGCCACAAGTGCTTTAGGGGAATCTTCCTTTCAAAGCTGTAGAAAATATCATTTTTAAAGGATTGTAGGTGCCCAAATCACAATGATATATAATGTACAATAGCTAGCTTAGAATGACATTTTCATGAAAGTTCACCAAATAACTGAGAAGGGTCATAATTTTACTCACCCTCATGTTCAAAACTATTTGGTTAGGAATAGTTCTTATGAATACTTAGGAAATTCACTTTGAAACAAATACATATCTCCCACAATGCTGAAAAAAAAAACCTCCAGAAAATCACGTGAATTATGTACCTAAGTGCATTTTATTTCAAGTGCAAACAATGAAACTTCAGCAAATTTACAAGCTGTATAATGTTGAATTAAATAGATTTATCCATCCATAATCATTTACCATACAAACTTTACTCTACCCATTCCTTCTTTGTCAGTATAAAACTCAGCCTTTTACAGTTTACAGTAAAAGTGCTTGGGATAGCCTTAATTTCTCATTTCTCATGAATTTTTTTAGAGAAATTATGTGTTCATGTTTGGCAGTTTTTAACAGCAAAATTTGACTTGCAAGGGTACAGTGATTTACTCAGTAATTAGTTACAAGCAGCTGTAAGGGAAACTGATTCTATTTCTATTCTATATTCTTTACTTTCCAC